GATTCAAGGCCCTGTTTATGTGGGCACTGGATGTGTCTTCAACAGAACTGCGTTGTATGGTTATGAACCTCCTCTCAAACCAAACATAAAAAGCCAGGATTGCTGTCTTCATTTTGTGGTGGAAGTCGAAAGAAGAGCTCAAAATCTAGTAAGAAAGGCTCAGACAAGAAAAAATCTAGCAAGCATGTTGACCCAACCATCCCCATATACAATCTTGAAGATATAGAAGAAGGAGTGGAAGGTAAGCCTTCAGCTATCTTTTATATGTGAATTAATATATGGTCTACATTTCAACTGTTTTGGTCACATTAGTCTTTTTTTTCCAATGCAATTCTCACGTTTAGTCATCAAGATTGTATCTATTTTTTGCGATTCCATTCTTGTATTCTTTATTCAACAGACAAGGGACCTTTAACTTTACTGCCATTATTAATTTAATTGCACAAGTTGAGTGCTGATTTCAGGTGTTTGCTATTAAGATTCCTAATAAAAAACCATGGCAGATGGGCATTTTTCAACTTTTCAGCACCCACAATTTGGTCTCCAAAAGAATTTTTTCCACTTGTGTTTGTCTGAGAACTTGATAGGAAGCACTTCAGAGATTTTACCCCAACTCTAGCCAGTCCATCAGTGAAATCATATTTATTTAAACCCTGCATTCTTTTTCTGTAATTTGGGTACATCTCTTTGGTTCATACTCTGCATGAAGGATTTTGATATTTGGTTACTTAGCTGCTCTTAAAGGATCTCTTGTACAACTTTATATTTAGGTGCTGGATTTGATGATGAGAAGTCACTACTTATGTCCCAAATGAGCCTTGAGAAAAGGTTTGGTCAGTCGGCTGTATTTGTTGCTTCCACACTTATGGAGAATGGCGGTGTTCCCCAGTCTGCTACTCCTGATAATCTTCTTAAGGAGGCTATTCATGTTATCAGCTGTGGTTACGAGGACAAAACAGATTGGGGAAGTGAGGTGATGTTTGATGTTTCATCTGTTTTCTTTCTGTTCCCAATTGCTTTAGTTTGTGCCATATATGACTAACAAGTTGGTGAATTTGAAGATAACGCATCCAGTAAATCACACATGGTTTTTATATTGGCAATATTGCGCTTAATAACATTTCACGTGATGGAAATGTAAATCTAAGCATCCTAGTTGGTCTTTTGTGGTTTGGTTTGAGCTTGTTGAATGAGTTGGTCTTGCATGGAATTGACCCATGTGCTTTGGCGTGAGAATGAGGGACTAGGGATGGGTTTGCCTAAGCATGACTGCAGTACAACTTGTCTCTATGTTGATAATTGCTTATATGTTACCTAATCCTCTTCTTCTGCAAAAAATTTATGGAAGTTATGGATGAGTTTTGGAATCTGAACCTCACCTTCTATATAATGTGTGATCTTTCTCATGAGGCATAGTTTTTCCCCATATTTTTTTTCTTGATTTATTATATTGAAGGGGATAAAGTTTATGGGCTCAACCTGGATCATTAGAACTTTGCTTATCTAGTCAATGCATGGAAATGTGGCCGGCCTTATTTTCCATGGTATGATTCCATCAGTCTTGCATTAAAAAAAAAAAAAAAGAAAGAAAGAGTGATATTGTAACATAGGGTGGGCTGGATTCTTTGCATGTCGATCATTATTTAATTATTAGCATTTCTGTTAATAGTTTGCAGTTAATCATCTCAAATGTAATCATGAGCTGCGTTCTTTTTAACAGATAGGATGGATCTATGGATCTGTTACGGAAGATATTCTAACAGGATTTAAGATGCATGCCCGTGGTTGGCGGTCAATATACTGCATACCAAAGCGCCCAGCATTTAAGGGTTCTGCTCCTATCAATCTTTCTGACCGTCTGAACCAAGTGCTTCGGTGGGCTCTAGGTTCTGTGGAAATCCTTTTTAGTCGGCACTGCCCCATCTGGTATGGTTATAGTGGAAGGCTCAAATGGCTTGAGAGGTTTGCATATGTGAACACCACAATCTATCCAGTCACTGCCATTCCCCTTCTCATGTACTGTACCTTGCCTGCTGTCTGTCTTCTAACAAACAAGTTCATCATTCCCCAGGTCTGTTATTTCTCCAAAATTATAAATTCTTGGTAACCAGTTTTTTGGATTTCTGGCTTTAAACCGATGTTAGGTGAGAAATTTTTCCTTAGAAGAGAAAAATAATAGGGAAAAAGAGTGTGTGGAAGAAACATCACCTGATATCAATTAATATTAATCATAATTATCAAATGTTATGACTTGTCATGTGAAGATTTGCTGAGATCATCTATCTTTGTGGTGTGTTATAGCGAAGTGATGTATCAATATTTTAAACAGGATTATTTTCCCTTTCAGAGAATTGCTTTTTCTGATTTATCTGCATCAAGTGATCCCTTACAGAAAATAGTTTTCTCTTACAAGAATTAAACTCTCCCAAGAATGTTGTTTCCTGGGAACGTTTTCTAAAACCTGAACCAAACATGGGAAATGCAACATTTCTAGGGATTCAAAAAGATTTCTCAAACTGAATGCTCCAGAACTTTTCAAAACCTGGTTTTTTGTGTTAACAATGTTCCAAGTCTGACTGATTTTGCTTTTGCTTACAGATCAGTAACATTGCAAGTATATGGTTTATCTCTCTCTTCATTTCCATTTTTGCGACGGGTATCCTTGAGATGAGGTGGAGTGGTGTTGGAATTGATGAGTGGTGGAGAAATGAACAATTTTGGGTCATAGGTGGTGTTTCATCCCATCTTTTTGCTGTCTTCCAAGGTTTACTCAAAGTGCTTGCTGGAATTGACACCAACTTCACGGTTACCTCCAAGGCATCTGACGAAGACGGAGACTTTGCCGAATTATACATGTTCAAATGGACAACCCTTTTGATTCCACCCACAACACTTCTCATCATAAACATGGTTGGGGTGGTTGCTGGGATCTCCTATGCCATCAATAGTGGCTACCAGTCATGGGGTCCACTATTCGGTAAGCTTTTCTTTGCATTTTGGGTGATCATCCATCTCTACCCTTTCCTCAAAGGTCTCATGGGCCGCCAGAACCGAACCCCAACCATTGTGGTGGTCTGGTCCATTCTGCTCGCTTCCATCTTCTCACTGTTATGGGTCCGGGTCGATCCTTTCATAACACGAGTCAGGGGTCCGGACACTGAGCAGTGTGGAATAAACTGCTAGAAAAACCAGTAGAGGAGAACTAGCAGGTTGAATATATCACTGTTGTTACTCTACTGGCTCAAACGAAAGTCTGGTATGAAATGTTGTGCTTGACTTGTATTTTGTTCTGCTGTGTTATGCCTAAATTATGTGCTGTTGATAGTTAAGTAGAAATTATTTAGTTAGCTTAGATTGTGTATGGTTCTGTGTAAATGGCCTTGAGCATACCTTCATGTTTCCTCGAGAAATTTCTAAGCAGCTCAAGGATCACATGCTTCATCTATTGTATCTTAAAATGGTAGTTACTGGTAGTTTGTGGGTGGTATGGCCTTTGGTCAACTTGAGAAGCAAACAGACAGACAAAATATGTATTATATAAATATAAATATAATGTGAAGTAGCTAGGTCATATTTTATGACATCGTGAATATTGGAATTTCATCAGTTAAATCACAATGGTAAATGTGGGACAATTGGCGTACCTTGAAGTTGTGAAAAGTTATCAAATCAGATATGATAATGCTATTTGACAGGTAAGGAATAAAAGTTGTAAATAGCATTGACTGTATCAATTGAGGAAAGAATAATGTTGGTGCTTCATCCAAATAATGATGTTTCAGATATTCTCTGTTTGTCTAAAAATTGTCAAAGCTTTCTTTAACTTAGGGTTGTTTTTAAATAATCTTAAAATTTTTTAAAAAGTTGGGTTCCTCAAACAACGTTTCATTAAATAGGCTTTTGGATGTTACAAAAAGGGAATAAAGGATTAGGTGAAAATATTATAATATCCCTGTCTTTCTTTTTTTATTAAATATCAATTAAAGATTAAAAAATTTTGAAATATTATTGCAAGACTAACTGATTTGAAAATAATATTAGGTGAGAAAAATTATAATATCCTTGTCTTTCTTTTTTTTATTAACAAATAGTTATTCGCTTGTTTGTTAATTAATAAATAATTTATATTTGATAAGAATTATTCGTTATTTGATAAGTTTAAAAATATGAAAAGTTTTTTGTGGAAAGGATAAAGTTGATTATGTTTCAATAAATAATCATATTAATTAACAAGTACTTATTTGTATTTAACAAAAAAATATTTGCTAATAACAAGTTAAGAATTTAAATGAACTTGATTGTGGAACAAGTATAAATTATGTTTCAACAAGTAGTAATTCTTTTCTTAACAAGTATCTAGTAACATTTAACAAGATACTATTTGCTAATTGACATGTTAAAGAATATGAAAGAACTTGATTGTAAGAGGGGACAAGTGCACATCTTATTTTAACAAATAGTCATTCGATAATTAATAAGTACTCATTTACATTTAACAAGAAATCATTTGTTAGTTGATAAGTTTTTAAAAAGAAAAAGAAAAGTAAGGGTATTATAGTCTTTTTTCATCTAAACTTATTTTCAAATCAGTCTCCTAATCTGCAATGATGTTTCAAAATTTTTAATCTTTATTTGATACTAAATTATCTTAGTGGTCCTTAAATGATATTTTTCCTTAAAAAATCCACTCAAATCAACTAATGTGTGTTTTCAAAGAGTTTCTTCATGGAGCATGAACTTGGCTTAGTTAACACACAATAAAATAATGAAAGCCTGCTTCTCATTTCTATATGTTATTGAGCGTGTTTAATTTATGTTGGGAACTATTAAAATTATAGTTTTGCTACAAGCAATTAGTTATTTGCTTTCATTAAGATCATGGTTTTAGTAGCTTTCATGTAAATCAAATATGGATTTAGTAGTTTTAGATAAGTTTATCTTTTCAATGAGAAAAAGAGGCATGATCAAAGTGAGTTTTCTAAATTACACACGCAGGAATCTGAACCATACAAGTTCACTGTGTATGTGAACAAATTTATATATAATTGACTTGATACCACGTAATCACAATTAGTAGGATACATTTAAACATCAACATGATAATAATACTGGGAAATGATCACAACACTGAGAAGAACATATGTCTGCAAAAAATATAACTACGTAGAGGGATCATGATAGAGACGAAAAAAAAAAAGTGACACAAATCCCTCAATCTAATCTTCTAAGGCAAAGAACATCTCCTAAGAAAATGCCAAGGTCCAGTTCCTGTCCCCATCCTGCACATAAATTTAGAACGCCAATTAAATCACCGTCGTCATCATAATATAATGTCTGCACAAACTTTCTTTTCATGATCATTTTCATTGTTCTTTCATAGTTTTTACATCATAAGTACTTGACTTTGCTGCAAAATTTACAAGGATAGTACAGAGCTGGTAATGTTACCTCCAAACACCAGCAAACATGCGCAGACCCATATAGATGGTTAGTGCAATCCATATTCCAATGAAACCGTTGCTCTTACAGAGAAGGAATAACGAGATAATACTTGCTATTGACACCATGACCTGGACATGAACATTAACATGGACATTATGACATGATGATAAAATTTAAAGTACTATATAATATTTAACAGTCTCAGATTTCTGATAAATGCAAGTTATTGTTTGATGTGTTCTTAATATTTTAGAAATTGACAAGGGAATGGAAACTTGCCAGGGAGTAAGCAGAATAGGCAAAATCAGATGCTCCAAAGTTGACCCCATCAAAGACAAAGGCTAAGGAATTGATTGGCTGTGTAGCAGCAATAAACTGGTAGATACATAGTAAAAAACATAAAATAGTTAGAGTGTTCATACATCACTAGATTAATCACTATAACATTCAAAGATGTTTGTATGTACCGGAAGGCCTATTTTGATAAGGTGCAGGACATTAGCATTTTGGGAAAAGACTCCTGCTCCAAAGTACAAACCAACCCCAACTAACAGAGAAAGTCCTAATCCCAGAACAAAACCCATCTGCAACAAGAAAAAATAGTTCATTCTTTAAAATGTTGATTGTGAGAGAAGTAGATAATGGTGAAACATATTACTATGCATAGAATTTTGACTACCTGTAGTACTCTGGTTGCAACAGATGTTGCTTTGTCATAGTCTTTCTCAGCAAAGGAACAAGCCAGAATTGCCTGTAAGACAGAGTCTGTTTATAATCACTTGTTTGTGTGTTTTTTGGGAATACAGAAGAGATTGAATAAATTTTTACCTGTACGGCAACAGCTAAACCATCAGCAAGAAGGGAAGATGTCAGCCAGACTTGAAGGCAGGTTTGAAATGCAGCCATGGGAATTGAGCCCAGTCTTGCTGCCAATGAGGCTGCCAGAGTTACACAGAATGTTACTGCTACTACTCTTGCTAACAACAGCCCTCCTGTGTCAAACCACGCACAAGTTGAACATTAGTACAGCAAACTAATCTGTGAATTCATCTTTCCTATGCAGTAACAACGAAATAGAAGGAAAAAATGATGGCCATGAATAAAGATAAAAAATTGAGGACATTGAGATTTTGAATATGACATGCACTAAGAAATGAGCCCCTCACCATTTTTGAGAAACCTGAAAATCTGCAAATCCTTGATACTGGGAGGTAAGAGATTCACTTTCTTCATTAGTATCATGAAGAGGACCACTGCCATTATGTACCTAAAAAGATCGGTGAAGAGGTTGAGTTACACAATATGAGATTACTTGAGAACACTTGAATTACATTAGAAAAAACAAACAAATAAAAATTAATAGAAATTCATGGGAACACTTACTGGGATAGAACATGTGCAATGGCTGCACCTCTGAGTCCCAACTTACATTTAAATATAAGTATTGGATCCAAAATGACATTTGCGGCATATCCCAAAACTATACCAAAACAAAAATATAAATGAGCCAAGTTAGAGAAGATATTGGTTAGTTTCTTTTTGCTGAACACTTGTTAAAATGCTAGGTGGTGTGACAAATCTAGTTTAGACTTATTTTGTTTCCACTTCTCTTCTAGCATATATAGTTGAAATCATACTTTCTTCATGTAAAAAACAAAAGTGAGAACAAATCTATGAAAGTACAGGTGTCATCTATAGCATAACCTAAGATCTTAACCCACCAATGACATATAAAGGAGTTTTTGTATCCTTGAAGCCTCTGAAGATTCCTTGCATGGCCAAGGAGAGAAGAACTGCAGGAGCACCTAGTGACCTCAATCTCAGGTACTTTATTGCTGGGACTAACATTGGAGAATCCTACAGATTAGAAATAACTCAGTTATAATAAAAGCTTACAGAAGTACATTTTCCTGCGTTTCATATTTCAAGGAGGACGTGAAACATCAAAGTTGCTTACTTGTTTCAAGCCCATCACGCTTAATAGAGGTTTTGCTGCACATACAAGAGTTACAGCTTGAAGCAGGCCAAGAATTGTGCCAAAAAGTAAAGCTGTTGATGCTGAAGCAATGTTTTTCCTCTTTTTGCTTCCAATAATTGCCTTATTCTTACCACTACTAACAACAGAAGACGACTTGCATTTGTTTGTGTTTGTATCTGTTATGAAAGTCTGCTGAGTTAAAATGCTAAAATTTTAACTGGAACTTTTGGTTTGGCCTAAAATATCATGCCATAGGAAGTGATAATTATTGATACCAGAGAGCGATAGAGAGAAAGTACCATGTTTACAATTTGTATCGTTCTTGTCAGCAGCAGCTGTGTCCAAATTCTCTGGGGAAGGATGTTTTTTCATAGAGAAGTCTTTCATTTGACTGTTTTCAAGTGAAGATTTCCCAAGACTCTCGGTGGTGTCTTTGGACGACCCTTTCTCCAAGTCTTGAAGAGAATCATCCTCAGGCACGATTGCTTCTCTGGCCTTAGTACTGTTAAAAGTCAAGCTCTTCTCTGCTTCTTGAACTTTCCCAATAGTATCTTCCTCAGCAACAAAGGAAGTTGTGATACTCACCAAAGGGAATATGGTGATCCTTGATGCTTGGTTGAACAATGCAATAGAAACTCCTGCAGCAGCAAGCTCCACAGGTCCTATAAATGGCCAAAAAGGGAAGAAAAAAAAAACAGGAAACAGTTCAGGTTAGGAATATGTAATAATTTAGTTCAGAAATCTAAAGGAAAGCCTCATTGAAAGGAAGTTTTGAAATGAGAAGACATATACCTAAGTGGCCTATGAATGCAGTGTCAATGAGAGAAGCAATGGGATCAGCAGCAACAGCCAGAGCAGCTGGGAATGCAATTCCTAGTATCTCCTTTCCAAGAGAATCCAGCTTGAAAACAAGTCTAGATCACCCCATGAATTAACGGAATCAAGGGTATTAGTCCAAATTTGCTTTAGAGATTTATGCAGTGAGATGTATTGAGCAACAGAGATATTCCCCAAGACACAAAAAATCAACAATGAGGAAGCTAATAACTATAATATGGTTTGAGAGTTGGAGAATAAATCTTAACTGTAATTGAGATTATAACTATTTTATCAATGCTTTGGTTGAGAATAATTTATTTCTATTTCTATATTTTTCTTACCAAATAAAAATTCAGATAGAGGAGGAGGCTGATGATCATTAAAGATAGGTTTGTACCTTGCTTCTTTGAAGAAAACAAAGAGAGGCATCTTCCACTTGTTCTTGGTAATTGCATGCAAAGTGCTATTCTCAGCCATGATGATATTCTATCCAAAGCATGCATGAAAGATCAATTAGAAATCATATTTGGTTGATTAAATACAGACAGAATTATTTTCATTCTATGTTATTCAGTTTAAAATTAAAAATTAAGCTTTAAAATTATATCTAAATAACAGAAATAATTTTTTTTCTCAATTTTCCACCAAAAAACTTTTCTCAGTTAAAAATATTTAAATTAGGTTTTTTATGTGATTTTCAGCTAGTGTTGGCCACCTCCTTCTCCATTAGCGAAACTTAAAACAGGTTTAGTGGGATATGAATGTTTCCTGTATAAATTTCAACTCACAAAAAGACAAGACAGATTGTGCTCAAGCCCATAAAAGTTTGAAAGTGGAAACACACGTCTCATTATAAACACATTTATTTAACTTAAAGTTACACGTTCTGGCCTATAAAAAAAAAAAAAAAGTGATTGCTAGAGCGTTTAATTTTAAGGAAAAGAATTGTAGTATTGGAGTGTTCAACTAATGTATCCGTGCCAAAAACCAGACAGGACGCCGCAAGATTAAGGTTTGACTCATAACACTGCTCAATGGAATTCGGATCATGTCATTCATTGGTTGTTACAGTCATTTTCTATTTGCAAAGTAAGATTTGGTTTTGGATTCTTAACTATTATATTCCAACTGTAACCCACGTTTCACTTCAGCTAACTTTAAACAGCTCATCCGAATTGGGAATATACTCATATGCTATAAATTTCTTAGAAGTATAATTTTCCAAATAATTATTTGTCAGGGAGCTGAGTTAGTAATTTGGGCAGGCCAAATTTAAGTTGGATTGGATTTAAAATACTCAAACATATTTATAAAAACTTATATAATTAAGTTTGGCTTTAACATCTCAAACTTTTAGATTTATTCAGGTCGGCTTAAATACTTCACTTGTTAAAAATCATTTTATTTTTTCTTTATTGAGTCAATTTCAATTTTTACCTCAAAAAACACTACACACTTTTTATTTTTACCTTTTCTACCATGAGACCAAGCATTGAAAATGTAAAAATGAAAGTATATGAAGTAATCTCTTATGTTGATTTTTTCTTAATATTTAAAAAAATTCAAAACAAACAGTAATTGAAATATTAAAACTTCATTTATTACTAAAAGTCAAGTTTGTCCTAAAGTTGCATGCAAGAGCACAAACAATTTATGGGGGGGGTGCATGAACTCTAGTAATTCTGATATTCTATATGCATGTGTATGCTATTATTTAATAAATGTAAGAAATTTTTCATGAAGGAGACTATCATGTTTATCATAGAAATATACTGAAATCATATCAACTAATCAGCAAAGACATGCAGAATGAACAGCAGAAGAAGAAACACACACACACACACACACACAACAACTTTAAGTATATCATACCTGGGAATTATATATATGTATGTGGTTGAGATGTAAAGAAGAGAGTGAAGCTCTCTCTCTGGTTGGCTTCAAAACTTCATACAAAGAAATGAGTGATAGAGTGCTCCTTTTATAAGTATTCTTTGCCCACTCACCGCTCTTCTCTTTTCCTAAAGCTTTTTGATTTATTATTATTATTATTTTGTTTCATTCCCTTGTTTTAATTATATATATCTGTGTGTATGTAGTTCTCAAACATAGTTTATACCTCACTAATCTCTTCTGTTTGTCACTTGTTTTCAATTCCCACATGATGATCTTCTTATCATATCGCTCACAGAAAACTTAGATGTAGTTTTCAATGTAATTATTATCATATCATTCATAAAAAAAAAAAAAGATAACTAAATAGCCATAAAAAGGACTGATGGTGCTCAGTTTGTGCATTTATATCTTGAAAACATATTCTACTTTTTGATGATAGAGAAATCCGAATACACTATATTTATTTATTTATATTTTCCCAAAAAGCACAAGTGTTTTTTTTATTCATCGATTTGTTTTTTCAATTTTAGTACTTATCATGAATTATTTTAAAAAATTAATTTTGTAAATTAAAGTGTTTTGAAGTAAGTGATTGAGAGTTTGAATCGATACATCGCAACCCTTATATATATGTGTGTGTGTAACATCTTGATTGAAAAGGATGTACCTATTATCTTTAAATATCTTGAGGAAAATAATTTGTGCTATTGGTGAGACCTCATCTTGTACTAAAGTAATATATAATTTATTCCGAGTGTGAGGGAAGGTGGAAGGAACAAGAGAGGAAAGTCGGAGACACGCACTTTCACTAAATAGGGTGGTCATGTTGAAATATATAGGGAAAATAGCAACCAAAAACTTATATATAAAATTTATATCAATCAATGATAAATTGTTATTAAAACTTGAATGAAAAACAAACGCAAATGAACTGTTATTAATTTAAAATTAATTTTTAAAACTTGATGGATACTTGTTGATAAAAGAGTAATCTGAATTGATAAATATCCATTTAAATTTTAAAAATGGTTAATCTTTAACTAATGTAAATTTCATATAAAGGTCCTTGATTATTATTTTCTCAAATATATAGACACACACACTTTATATATTTTTTATAACCATGGAGCTATTTATATTTCTCTCCATATCCCATAATCTAAATGTGAAGAGAAATACTTTAATAAAAAAAACATGTATATTAAAAAAAACTCAAAACAATACTAATTCATTAATTTAAGTTAAATAAACCTTTTTTTTAATTGGTCCAAGTATAATGGCGTAATATTTAAAGGGTAAAAAGTTATTGCATAAATATGGTGCATCACGTCACTCTTACGATGTTTATGTTAAATTCATTTATATATCACTTTAAATTATTTTAATTTCTTGCATTTTTCTCCTTCCCTCATTTATGATAATGGTAGAGATAGAGAAAAGATAATAAATTAAAAAAGAACTATATTTCCAAAAAATATTAAAAATAATGACACATATAAAGATTTTATTTGATTGAACTTATATAATTTTATTAGATAGAGCTAAATAATAAAAACGTGGGTAAGGAAGGTGGATGCAATGTATATTTTTCCCAACTTTAGGTTACAATATATAATATTGTGCTTTCATTTCGTTCCCTACTGGGTGATGCGCATATTTTTATTCCCATTTGTGGCCTAAGTGGGATTTCCAATACCTCCCCAATACATTATCTCCAGACTTAGAAATTTCCAATGTGCCTTCTGACCTAAGTTTTCTAGCTTCAGGCATTTGTCTTTTTGTGCAAATATGCATTGTTTTATGTATAGAGATTATTTATTTTGTTAATTATATTGTTGGAGGAGCACTCGTAATTAAACCAAAAGTTAATCAGAGATTTTAATTGTACGTAATATTTTGTTTACTTAAATAATTGCACCAGCTTAATTAGCTTCTTTGTTTATATATATGGTAGGAATAATAAGCTTGTGACTATTATATTTTGACCTAACTTTGACCTTCTATTATCTCACATTAATTGTCTAAGCAAAGATAAGTTAACTAGCCCACTAATTATATATAATTAACCATCTTTGTAATTAAGTAGTAATCAATATTTAATCCTTCTTCTTAGTCCCTTTGGGAAATTAAACCCATGACCATCACTTTGGTACCAATTAACACACATACAAGAGCCATGCGAGAAGTTCTTACAATAATTTTTTTCTAATACATAACATATTTTACAGAGAATTCTATAATGTTATATTTAGATTAATGGGGATTTGAATTTAGATTTACACCAAATCTCTCATTTGTTTATATAGAAGTTTATATATGAATTTAGATTTGATTCAAATTTAAATCAATATTTTATTATAACTTTTTTTATAATACATATTTTTAAATTCCTCCAATATATTTACAATTTTAACTACTTCAAGTTCTCATTTTTTTTTTATGGTTTTACTATCAGTATTTTTGTCATTTCATCTCTTGTTGACATCTTCAATATTCTATTTTTGTTTCCAACATTATGTTTTTGTTTTGAATCTCAACTCATCTCCACTTTTCTTTTAAAATTTTTTAGCTATATATTCAAACGAAGAATCCTAAATACATAAATTTTAAATATAAAATTTTAAGTATAAGTGTTTTAAATCTTAATTTTAAATCCAAATCCCTTGATCCAAAAACTATGCACCTAAAAATTTATCAGAAATCAACACCTTGTGATGAGAAATAAAGATGTTTAAAATCAATCCAAACCAATCACACTAAACCAAACCGAAGTAAACTAATTATAAATGAGGTTTAGTTTAGTTTTTCTTTTTAAAAAACTAATTAGTTTGGTTATTTGTAAATCATTATTACAAATAAGTTACAATTAGCTAAATGTTATTTATAATTGATTAAGATAATTTTTTAATTTTTAATCAAGTGTTTTAAAGATATACATTAATTTTTAATAGTTAAGTATGCTAATTAATTGTTAAAAATATTCTATTGTGCTCAAGAGATTTTTTATTGTAAATAATAATTAAAAATTAAAAATTATTGGTGAACATAAATATATATTTGTGATTAAGAAGAATATCTCATTTGATCCAAACCTAAACCAAACTGAATTTAACCACTCAAAAATCAAACCAAATTAATTAGAAAAAAAAATTGAATAGGTTCTAGACTATAGTAAATTAATTGATTTGGTTTGATCTCATTTTTCCTCAAAACAAATCAAAACCAAACCTATAAACATCTTTAGTAAAAAAGATGAGTCAACAGAAAAGTATTTGAGACGCAAATTATTTAGTTTAATAAAAAAACAACATATAGATCGCATGTAATGTTTGAGACATAATTAAATTAATGATTTTTTCAATAAAATTAGAAAAAATAAATTTATAAATGAGGTTAAACAAGAGATTAAGTTGACAAGGATGAAGAAAATGGGGAGCAATTTGAAGTGTGGAAAGTGGGAGCCAAGTGTCCACATTAAGAAGAGAGAAATGATTGCAGGTAAGTACAATACACATTAGCCTTCTTCCTGTCTTTCTTGTGAATCCCACTTTCCCGCACTAAACATGTTGCCGTTTTTAATACGCTAGTAGCTAGGTTTCGTGTCACAACAATATATATCACTTCATATTTAAATTATAACTTTCTACCAAAAAAAAATTGTCACTCTTAATTTAATTAAATTAAAGCACCACATATATCACCTAATTTTTAGACCGTACACTTATGATGAGTTGATCATGCATAAAAAAATAAGAATCTGTGGGCTTAGGAGATTCTGCGTTCATCACAAAAGACTATGTATTCTGTAGTAGCTAACTGGAAGTTTGTTTTCATTATAAATATAAAATTTTAATTTATATATAATATATAAATTTAAGTTATACTCTAATGTAGTTTATTCTTGGACTTCATATATGATGCATTGGGTGGGTTTACTAAATTCCTAAACAATATGCATGGTTGGCATTTATGGTTTTGTAATTTGTAGCACCATATATTTGCGTAAGAAAGGATAATAAAATTTTCAATCTCTCAATATTATTTCAATTATCAATTTAATTTTTAGTGATTCAATTCTTTATATTTTTTTAAAATTATTATGTGAGTATTTTAAGTTATAACATTCAAAAATTGAGTCTCAAAAAATTAATTTACCGTGTGAAGTATATTAATAAGTTGACACATATAGGTAATTAATTGAAAACAAATTAGCTCTTAAGTTAGTTTAATTTTTATTAATATAACTCCTTTTGTTCTCTTGTTTTCATAATTTTTATTCTGTTTTTTTAACTAAATAATTACACTTGTTTAATTAATCTACATGATTAATTGCATCAAAATATTCTATTATCCATGTAGCAAGAGTTTAACAATGTTATTACCTCCTCTTTAAACAATAAGAACCAAATTAATAAAAATTAAACTTAAAGAACTAAGAGTTACATTATCCCTACATAAGAACAAGCCATGTATATTTTCTGTTTAATGGTAAATTAAAATATCAAAAAAGATTATTCGCTGTTGTCTTGTTGATATCTCTAGAGAGTAGAGGAAGATTTGTTGGAATATTATTTATGAATTAGCATTAATTAATAAGCCCAATAAATTGGTCCTTATGATCTTGTGTGGACCGTGATAGGTGGACCACACAAGTGAGCCCAATGGGCAGAGGCCCAACCCACAACCCAGTAGCCGTCAGTTATTTCCTATCTCTTAACTGACTGAGTCAGAGATAATAGATAATATAATTATTTAATTATATTAATAAGGCGGTTACCGATCTGATCTATATAAGACGATTAGTCGATAACCACAAAGATACGACTCATTTTCTTCTACTTCCATTATCTCTGAACTCTCTGAAGGCTCTGGGGACCTGAGGGTTGTGTACCTGCCTATACTCGAGATAATCGAGATCTCTCTAGCACTCATGGATTCTTCAGGTACGCATACATTACTTTACTTATCTATATAAATTGAGATATTAACATACAACACGTGGCATCAGAGCCTGGTTACAAATATCAATCTATATATCTCAA